GTTCGAAAGTAGAAAAATAAATATTTTTGCGAAGTTGCTCCACCAATCTTCATTTTGGGACTCAAATTTGAAAGATAAATGGTAAGTGGTTATTTTTATGTAAAAAGATATACGTTTATAGGCTAAATACAAAGAAAAAAAAGTATTATACAATTTACAATCTCGGTGCTTGTGATGTTCTTGCCAAGAAGCAGATTCCCATTTCGCTAAATTAATGCGGGCCAAACGTATTGCTTTCCTGTCTTTTACATTAATAAGAAATCATAGGTGCTGGTTTGAAACACGTCCATCAGGTTCCATGCATGTAGCTTTGCGATTTGTGAGCAAAAATTAAAAGTTAAACTACCTATGTTTTTAATACTTTCTGTGCAACTAATAACCACATTCACAAATATATTCTCCAGCAAAGAAACGTTTCTTTACGGATTGTTAATCCGCATTTGAAGGCATGCTTATGCCTTCAAAGGTCAGAGGTCTTTCACATGCAGAATAGCAGAGACTACTGTCATTGACATCCTTTGTCACAAAATTATGATGGCATATTGGACAGCTATGTTGGATAAGGCACTTCCTTAATAAATAGCCTGACACATAAGTTCATGCAGACTAAGTTTTGTTCAATTTCATTTGTTTTGTAGTCGGTATCTTCAACTGCTTGGATTAGTGGTGGGCTTGTCTGATCATTTCCTGCAGATAAATCAGATTGGCTAGGGTGAAATGCAATCAAATAAGCATCAGAATCTTCAGCACAGGTGCCAATTGAAAGTGGTGTCAAAATATTATCTACAAATAATATGCAAAATGCTCTGGTGAACTGGATGGAACTAATTGGTTGTCACAATCCCCCCCCCCTGCTGCCTAATGAGGCCAAAGAAGTTCTCCAGAGGATCTTGGTTGAAACTCCAAGGAATGATGTTGGTTTATAAGGTCTTGAAATGTAAATACTACAGTGTAATTACTACTGACAGTGTAAATACTACAACAGTGAAATGTAAATACAACAGTGTACGTAATTGGGGTTTAAAAATACAAAGTTTATTTTAATAAATGTTGTTTATTTTATTTCACATTTATATACATTTAAGAACTTAAATTATTCAAAAACTAAATAAATTAAATATGTGTTCAATGTCAATGAATATTGCTATATTCTAATTTTATTATTCCAAAATAGGCAATAACTGTTTCCTTTATAGTTGACCCCACATGTTGTCATGAAAATTAATACTAAATAAAAAAAGTAGCCAATGATCCATGTTTCCTCTTACAGTCTTTGCTTTATATGAAAAGTTAAATGCTATGAATAATTGCATTGTTCCTTTTATTGATAAAGAGTTTCCCATTAAAAGAGAAAGTATTCCCAAATAATACTTTGCCTGTTAAAGTGTGCCCACCCCTTGACAAGTAAAATCGTCTGGCGTTAGACAGAGTAAAATAATAAAGTAGGGTGCATCAGGGCACATGCAATGCAACTCAATGGGTTAACTGGATCGCCCAGTGTTAGACAGAATAATAAAGTTGGGTTAACAAGTAAAATTGTCTAGCTTTACAGTACATCTTCCAAGGGGGGCTGGATTTGGGGAGCAGGCCTACCACTTTGGGGGAGGGGGCTGCTTTTTTGAACCTCAATTAAACTATTACAGTAATCCGACGGCCTGTCTATATGGTCTCCGGGTACTAGGGAAATCTTACCCCCCCCCCCCGAGCCACCCTGGCAAGGCAAAACTATATTCATATCCTATTATAGCAACTGCCATGCAAGTGTTTGCATGGAAAGTTTTGAACTTGTCTTGCCTAGTGGGATGATCCAGGTAGTAAGGTCACTCCGTCAGGGGGTACAGCATCTCTATTACTCAAGATTAATTATATAAACATTGCCTGAGGCTATGTAAAATTGGTAGGCATTCCAATATAAGATCAAATAGTCTCAGGTTTTGCCCAATCAGAAGAACAAATTAACATAGTTGTAAGAATCTGCATCTGATTCATTGTAATGAACAATGTAGTTCAACAGGAATGGTTGGCAATCTAGAAAAGCAAAATAAAAAATAAACAGATTAGATTTAATATTAAACATGTACAGACCTGGCATGTTTGAGAAATTATTGACCTTTGAGAGCCAAAAAAAAGGTTGTCATTGCACAATAACCAATGCACTAGTCTAGGGGAATCACTATAAAGTATAATTTGACCAATCCCTCACCATTGGGTCAACATATAAGTTAAATAGAGTCTATATGAGAACTTTAGAGTACTGTGGCTCCATGTCCAAGTCCATCAGTCCATGTTGAATGTTGATGTTCATATTTTTCGTATCTGAATGCTGTTTATGCAATGTTTAAATTAACGACAACCCTTTCATACAACATAGCACTTCACAAAAATATATTGATAATTTCATATATATGAGCTAGAGAAAAAAAACTCACATATAAAGTTGCCAAGTTCCAGCTGGAGTTCAGGTCTACAGAATCGAATCTTCAGATTGCCAGAAATTCTCACTCCTTCGGGTGTCTTTTCTCATTTTCGCCGTTAAAAATGGTATTCGTTCAATTCCCTTTTGCTAAGAAGACGCAGTGTGCCATTTATTTGCAAAATTCGTGCACAAAATGAAGATAGATCGTTTACTGCGCTTAAAATCGCCGTTTTACTGCCAAAATTTTGCATTTCCCTATCTTTTTCCTGATAAAAAATGTGCATGACACTTGCCAGAGGGTCGCGCATGCGCATTAAAAAAGTGGGGACATGATTTGCCTCGAGTTCCGCCTCTGGATATCCTTACTCTGTGGCGAGATGTACAAGTTTTGGACCATATTTTAACGGGACTAGCTAACAGTCGTGGGTCGTGGGTCGTGGGTAGAATGTCGTGGGTCGTGGGTAAAAAGTCGTGGGTCGTGGGTAAAAAGTCGTGGGTCGTGGGTAAAAAGTCGTGGGTCGTGGGTAAAAAGTCGTAAGTCGTGGGTAAAAAGGCGTGGGTCGTGGGTAAAAAGGCGTGGGTCGTGGGTAAAAAGGCGCGGGTCGTGGGTAAAAAGGCGTGGGTCGTGGGTAAAAAGGCGTGGGTCGTGGGTAAAAAGGCGTGGGTCGTGGGTAAAAAGGCGTGGGTCGTGGGTAAAAAGGCGTGGGTCGTGGGTAAAAAGGCGTGGGTCGTGGGTAAAAAGGCGTGGGTC